TCTAGGCACTTCGCTATCAAAATTTGCAAGCTTCACGGAACCATGGCCGCAGTATCAGCTGAATCAGCAGGACAAGATCGCATTTCTGACTCCGGTACCAATCAAGGACGCGTCGCAAAAAGCACCAGAGGCCCGACTCTCTGTATATCATGACGTGCTGAATTCGGGCTGCCGCCTCTCCCAGGCTATATCCAGCCACGGTATACCCCTTCTGGGCCTCGTGATCCCGTTCCGGATTCACGATGAACTCTCATCTCCCCATTCGCACAGCAGCCGGGCGACGCCGTACTCCTACCTCCAAGCAGGGCGGCGTGCAAATGACTCAAGGCATATCTTGGCCGTTGCAAAACCACACCTGGACTGCAAGGCTGCAAGTTGCAACGGCAAGCTAGAACCTGTCAACCACAGCCCTGCATATCCTCCTCCCTGGTTGACTTCACTGGTGAATCGATAGTGCCAAAGCTTCGGCGAACCCCTGGGGGAAGGAGTACAACCTGCACCAGCCTCCTTAACAGCTCTCGCGGGTAATAAAGCAGAAACTTGATGCGAGATGCCCCGTACGTTTTCTTTCCCTCGGGGGAGCAGGGGCTGGTCGTGCCGCCGGCGACGGACCGGGGTAGGCGAAATACAAAGGGAAGCGAAATGTAACGGCAAAGGGATGCACTTTAGCCCCCTTTCCAAGCGATGATGGAACCTGGTAGGCCAATCCCCTTCATCAAATCTTAATATCAACTCCCCGAAGCCGTTGCCATTTTGCTGTATTTGGTCAATTTGCCTCGCCCCAGATTCCCAACCCTGCCACGCAGCACCCTGGGATGCCGCGCGGGAGCCGGAGAATATCCCATACACACGCATATCCGTACGGGAATTGTGCAGCGCCGCAAGAGTAAAGGCGGAAGATGTCGGGCGACGTCCGTCGTGCAACTTCGGCCTCGACCTCGACCTCGATTCTAGAGAAATTCGAATCCCTATGACGAACTTGACCGACTGTGGGGGCCACCGGTGAGTCGCCGGCCTCGAGAGACAGAGCGCATGTGCTCGGTTGCATGCACCAGCCGCGGGCAAACAAGTGCTGGCCGTCCACGATGGTTGTGACCGATGACGAGCCGGCGGCGGTGGCCACAACCGTGCTATGGCGGAGCAGGAGGCACAGACTTGGACAACGTCCCGGCGCCCCGATACAACTGCACTGGCTGGACCTGAACCATCGTGGGATCTATCCGACGGGTCTGCAGGTAACCGCGAGCGATGGCGGGATGAAGTGTTCTTGATCTGCCTGCGCGGTAGTCGACATATGCTTCCGAGCATCACTTGACGACGGCTGCACGGCTGGCATCGAAATAGACACCTATCAGTACGTAATGAGATGTTGCCAGCGCATCCTCTCTCGCGGCCACAGCGTGACCTCGCCTGAATCCCACAATCGGAGAAGTGAAGTCCAACACATATGGCGCCACCTAAAGACTGTCGACCACGTGTAGTTGCATCAATTCGGCCAGACAGCAGCTATCGAAGTAGAAGATGCTTCCGGAATGGGAGACACGAAACAGGAACCGTTAACCGGAAGCTCAGCAAGTCTGGTAGATCCCCACGTGGCGGGCGCGCGCTCCTTGCCATCGTGCCGTTTCAGTTGTTCCTGGACAAAGAAGACGACAGTAGCATCAAGCTACCTATGGTGAGTTGCAACGCTCGCCCGTTGTGCGCGCATGCAAGCCGCAAACGGCCAATGGCCTAGCCAGACTTTGGCCCTTTTTGGGGCGCCGACTAAGACGAAACTCTGGTGCTGGAGCGCCGTGCGAACCTTTTTCTTTTTTTCCAAAATTGGCAACAGAAGGATCGGAGCCGTTGACAAGTGCTGTCGAAAGAGCATGGAGAAGCAGATTTTTTTCTGGCCTCCTTTCTTTTCGTTTCAACCCCGTCAAACATGTGTGCGGGCTGACACGTTGTGGGTGGACCTGGGAGCGGTTCGCAGAAGAGCGGGCGGACGGACGGCAGACGGACGTGGGCGCGCAGTGATGCCATCTCCACCGAGGGTTTAACGTTTTGTCCAAGGTGCGGTCATGGCGGGGATATCCCCTAGAACCCCCAGAATAACACCGAGTCATTGCCAGCAAAAGCCGACTTTTTGTTCACTTGGTTGCCCGAGCTGTGACTGCTTGTGGTTTGTGCAGATGAGCCCCTCTTCTGACAGCGGCTTTTCCAAGCAAGATCCTAGAGTCAACTGCGAATGGGAAGACTCGGCAAGGCGTAACGGCGGGTTCTCGACGAGGTTGCTTCTTCTCGGTGCTGATTACTGCGAAGAAGTTTGAAATCTGGGCCGTACTCCGCAACAAGTGGGATTAATGAGTCTTTGGCGTCCGCTTCCCCTCTTGACGTCGCCGCTCGCGTGGTGGGAACAGCAGGAGCGGGACAAAGTTGATCGGGGCAGAAAAGGACTCAGAATGACAAAGCAACCGGCTAAAGGTACTTTGGCAGGATACATAATTGGTGCGATGCTGTATGTAAGTGGGCAAAAAAAAAAAAAAAAAAAAAAAAGACTGGACCGCACACTCCACCAGAGGTGCGGCAGCGTGAGCCCTAAACGCAGGTACAAGACACATCTGGGCCCGGCATTCTTCGTCTGAACGAGATGCGACGAATGAGATGCGACGGATTTGCTGCGATCCCATGGGGCCGCGGAACGGCGAGCGGTCGCCTCAGCATCGCATCGCAGCACATCGGGACTAGGGTCAGGTACATCCGGTACGTATCGTTGACGAGAACTCTGCATTCGCAGCAAAGCCGACGCAGGGCACAAACTCTGTGCGGGCGTAGGACGGAGACGTTGAGCTCAAGAGACATTGGGCACATTGTGTGTCAGTCAATGGCCATCTTCCGACCCTCCATCGCAAGAGCACCCTTTGTTTGTACCTAGGTATTCGTACGGGGCTGGAGCAGAATTAGACGAGAGACAGAGACTCACCAATGCCGGCCGGCGGCCCAATGGCGAGGCACCAACATGCCAACCACAGGGCCTGTCTCATCTCTAATCCATCTCCCATCGACGTGAGAGATGACGAGCAGCGGGGGAGGCATGGGCTGGGCGTCTCTGATTGGAAAGCGTCGGAGAAAAAGGAAGCAGGAATAGAAGATGTGGAAATGCGCCGTCAGCCCCCAAGAGAGCGCCGGCGTGCGCCCAACAGGCTGGCTGCCGCTGGTGGCCGGGGATTGATCAGCACTGCAACAAGTCTGCAGACAGTACTCCGTACGCAGTGCTCCATGCCATGCTCCGTCCTCACATGAGTAGCCTGTAGGTATGTACTCCGTACTGTAGTATACTCAGTGACTCCGTAGATTCATTCTCCGAGATGAATCTCAGATGCGTTCTTTCGTCATCGGCGCCGCTTCTTCCACTTGTTCCAAGGCCCAAGGAGTTCCAGGCTTCTGGCCGTGGATCTAATTCCCGCAGGCCCCGTCGAGCACGTTGGATCCTGGCGGTCCTCCGGCCTTGTCGCTCGTGTCAGGCCTCGTTGAGCCTTGTCAATGTCGTGCCCTGCCCTGTCGTGCCGTCCTCTCGCTTGCCGGGGAAAACGCAATTTGCAAGCCTGCTGCAGCCTGTGCCTGGCTGGGACAGCGAGGCCCATTCTCGGCCAGGGCAGTGTCGTGGAAAAGTGTGGCCATGTGGAGAGACACGGAGTCAAGGAGTGGAAGCCGTGGTGGACCATGGCCCAAGGCTTCACAAGTCAAGACCCAGGAGTCATTCAGGACTAAGGACAACATGGGGCGAAATTTGGTGGAGAGGAGATGGAAAGTCGTCGAATCAAGGCAGCGGGTTGGTAACAGCGGGAAGGGAGCTGGGGCCCACGGCTGGCATGAGGTGTGTGCGGGAACTTGGCCGGGAAGGCAGGGACGCCTTGGAGTCAGAAAAGACGTTGGAAAGAGCCTGAAAGGTCTTTCCTTGTGAACATCTTGTGTGAGGTACATTCATACCTCAGGCAGTCTACTCCGTATAGTCCATACATCTGCAGGTCGGTACTCCGTTATCTGGTAGGTTGACTGTGGTTGGCAGGAGTAGGCAAGGTAAGGTAGTCGTGTGGCCCTCAGGCAGAGACATGCGCTACGTACTCCGTACCCCTCGCGGCATGGCTAAGGAGATACCTTGAGGTCAGGAGGTAAGGTAGGTACGGAGTATGGCACTGTAGCATCTGCCATTGTTTCAAGGTCTTTTTCGTCCCTTCATTAGAGCCCTCCTTGCTCCTTTTGGACCTTTGGATGGAGAATGGATTCCATTGCGCCGAGAAGAGGTTGAGCATTGATATACACGGGGTGCACTATACACTTGGCTTGCCTCGCATTGGCCTCGTCCTTTTCGGTATCAGCATCTGACCTGGCAACGTTCTCCTTATTCGCACTCGAGACACTCTCCCAAGCTAAGGTACTGTGTAGACAGACTCCCACAGGTGACAGCGCTGAGCGGGGAGGCATCCCATTAATGGCAGGCGTGCGTCATTTTCGTCTTCCGAGATTTCCCAACTCCAGCAGGAGCCGAGAATAGAAAATTTGAGACAGGTCCCTGGCCACTCGCGAGAAGCAGCAGGAGCAGACAGCCAGACACCCCCGGGCTCCTGCCCAGTCATTTGGGTCCGTCGGGAATTAAGGCGGCAGGAAAATCTATCTCGAGGTACTTCCATCCCTGGTGCCTTGCTGCACATCTTCATGTACCCAAGGTACCTCTGATATTGTATCATTTTACGCTTTTTGCACCCATGGAAAACTCTTCGTCGATAGATCGCCTTCCCTGTCTCTGCCATTGCTAAACCTGGTTCTTCTTCTCGTTTTTTGGCGAGTCGTTGTCAAGCCGTTGGTGTCCCGATGGAGGTTAGACAGTTACATTCCAACGACAAAACTAAATAGCGTCTCCCCAGAAAATCTCGAAAATCTCTTTTACCAACTCGGGCAGCCGGGCTGGCCCTCTTTGGGGGCCGAGTCAGTTCGGCCAGGTTCGGAATCTAGATGCGCTCTGCGTCACTGGCAACTGGGCTGGGAGCCTGATACTCCGTAGAGTGTCCCAATCTTCCGTAGGACTCTTCAACCAGAGAAGACCATTTGGCGTAGACAGCTCCAGCTCCAGCTCCAGCTACCAATGTTTATCTGACCGTCTGCACAAGGTCAAAGCCATAGGTAGCGCACCGGGGAAACGGCACAACCGCCCTTTTGTTATGCAAACTTCCCCTCTGCAGAACATGGACCACCCATGCGACCGAGTTCTCTCCGTCGCCTGTTGGTCAAAGCAAGACCCCTCAGGTATCTCTCTCGACCCCTTCTCGCCCCTCTTCGCCCCCTCAGGTACGCCGCCAGCTCTCCACTGAAGGCAGCCGGAAGCCGCTATTCTGTACCTACCTTAGTCTACTATGTACGTAGTAAGGTACGGAGGCAGAGAGACACTCAAGAGGGAACACCCCTCTGTCGAAACATGAGAGCACTGGCTTTTTGCCTCCGCTTTCTCCTGGCACCAGTCAATTGCCATGCCAACGGGTGGGTGAGCTCCCTACCTCTAGCTACTGTGTAAGGGTTGCCTTCACTTTGTTGACACTCGGCGACTCAGCAGTCGAGCAACCAAAGTTTGAACCCCGTCCGACGTCGCAAGTGTCTTGAAGCTATCGCCGACTGCGCATGACGGCCACTTGTCCACGAGGGAAAAGTGTCAGCTTGTCTTGGGTCGGAAGAGCGATTCTGTCTCCCTCTGCTCGCAACCAACCGACAGGGATTCGCGTGTCTCACCCAAAAACAAACAACCAGTCCAAGGAGACGCCACGCATCTCATCGCTAGCCTCGTCGATCATGGCCTTCTGCTTTGGGATAGAAGAAGAGGCACAGCGCCATGGCCCATTGAGGGGCAGAAGTGCCGTAGCTCGCGCCAGGACACCTAATACTGGCCAGAACGGATTTGACGGAACGATTGATAGCTCGTTGTGTTGATTCACGGATGCAAGGGGGCACCTTCAATTGGCAGCTTCGGGCGATGTAGCTTCGGGCGATAGCAAAGAGGACCGGAGATTGTACCTGCACAACCCCCTCACATACGATGCGACCGCAGCTCTCGAGTCCAGCCTTACCCTGCGCCGTCGTCGCCATCTAGTGAGCATCTAGTGCCCATCTCGACACGTCGCTGCGACCATGCCGAAAGCGACACGATGTAAACAAAACTAGCACGGCCCAGAGCCTCACTTGATCAACCACGGGGTCTTTTTCAGCGCCGTCATTTCGCAAACCATGGTGCGAGGCACTCGCCGAGTGGGAACCTCACTTGCGATTGTTCCTGGCAGCCTGGATAGACCCAGATCGTGTCAATCAATGATGGGAAAGGCAAGACGAGCATCGTCGATTGCGCCGGAGCTGGAGCAAAAGCGACATTAGCCGTGCTGGTTAAGAACAACACGGACCAGGGATAACCAGGGAAAAGACGGCTCACGCTCCAACTCTGGGCTTATCGGGGACAGCGACCTATATCAGAAAGGAGATGAGTGACGGCGCTTGGCAAAGAAGACGAGATGCCAAAAACCACGCATTTCGAGACTGGTCTGCTAGGTAGACTGCTACTGCCTCGACATACGCCTTCTGCCAGTCAGCCATTGCGCGCCGAGAGTTTTCTTTTTTTTGGGGCAATCCTACTGTGGCTGACGATGCTTCCCCTCTTGTTTCTTCTTCCAGAAGCCGCCGGGTGGGATGACGGATGGTTCCCCCTCCCTTTCCTCACGCCATTGTCTCTGGACCTTCGTTTTTCCCATGTTTTATATCGCGCTTGTGGCTTGTCTTTTTCATCTAATCGGGGACGGCGCGGCCAATAATCCCCCGCAGCTCCAGTGTCAGCCCTCGCCATCTCATGCTACCATCGGAAACTAAGGTAGCCAGAGCCTCTCGGCCCAAGATTCTTTCGCCTACGGCTACCTACGAGAGTCTACGGGGAGGAATTATCGAGTCTAGCTGGCACAACATGGAGACACAATCGAATCAAAGTGGTCGATTGGAAAGTCGAGTTTGATTGCCACAGGCAGTACGACTTCTGTCGAGGTGCTACAAGTACAAGCAACACAACAAACGACGAGGTCAGAGAGCACATACATAGCCGTCGCATCGTCCGGTCAAGATCTAATTCTCTGACTGGCTCTGTGCACTGGCAGAACAGACACGTACATACAGCGGCAGCGGCAACTGATGAATGGGACGACAGAGCCCTGCATCTCACCTGCTCGTGTCGTGCAGTATTGGTACTTTGTCTACCACCAGTGCAATTCTACGGTCCAGCACATGGGAACGCACGCGCTGAACACACATTGACACGGCACGGCAGCAGCAGCATCAGCACATCACAGATCCCGAATCATCTCGTCACCGCGGGCCTCACTCCCCTGCCGCCGCGGGCTCCCAGTCCTGGTCCCAGACTCCCAGGTCTCCAGTCAGGATCCCAGACCACACCAGACCCGGACTCTGTCCAGTGTCCCAGGAGCGCACGCCCCCGGCACGGACAAGGGTAGCTGCCAGTGTTTCGTTCCGAGCGCTCCACCACGGCATCCCTCCCACATCCTTGTCACTGCCATCCTTCCTTCACTCGATACTTGAGTCTGGGTACGGAGCAGAGACCCAGAGACCAAAGGAAAGGGACGGAAAAAAAAAAAAAAAAGAAGAAGAATCCACCGGCCGAGGTGTGTGCGTAAAGTACGAATAAACTCGCTCGGTCTGCCGTTTGCCCACGCGACGCTGGACTCTACCCTCACCCACACCCCTCCCCCCGACAGGGAATGCCATCTAACCCCCAACCCAGGCACCGCAACGCACCGCACACAAAAACGCGACCACGACCGCCTACCATACTTTATTCGTTTGGTTCCCAGGTTTCGTCCTTCGTCTCCTCTACTTACACCTACACCTCTTCCCTCAACCCCCTTCCGTTCTTTCTCACCAACTACTATTCTCTCGTTAAACCCACGACTTGAACATTCGCTTCACCCAATCCCCATCGACAACATCGGGCCCATTACACCGGCCATCTGGACCATCTCAAGCAACCCGGTTCCATAGTGAAGCCTCGCTGCCCAGTGCTCGGCATCCTATTCGTCAACGCAAACGACAACACCCCATTCTGTACTCGCCCTGGACAGAGAGTTTCTATACGGAGCTCTCCTACAGATCGAACCATCAACAGTGCTCATGTACACGGCTGGTCAACCGCGTCCCAATCTCACGTCGTCTAGTCATAAACTCTGTGGAATCAAGTCGTCGACACGTCACTTACACCCGCCGTCGTCTCACACCAGTAACCCAGCCTCATCGGGGCCCAGTCCTCATCGATTCATCAGTCTTTAGTCTTGACAAGCCGTTTGTTCGCCGTCGAGAACAAACAACCGATCCACCGGTCTCTGGCAGACCCATCTGCAACGCCTCAGCCGAACAGTTCTCCGTGTCAGCGGCGGAGGAAAACCCCAGCTTCATTTTCCGCTCGTATTCGATTCCCACCCGGCTTTGAAAGCCCCAACTTCATCATGGGCCTTCCGCGAGCTCTTCCCGTTGCGGCCGGCGCGCTGGCTCTGATTGCCACCATTACGATTGTCATCATCCACGTCGTCCTCGCCGCTCATATCGCCGATGCGGCGCCTGTGCGCACCTCCTCGATTCTGTCTTCGATTCTGGAAAGCATTCTTTTGGTATTCTTGGGATGGATGTTGTCAACCAACTTGGTTGCCAAGTTTAGGAATTCCTCAAAACGCTTCATCAGCGCCATGTTTGGTGCGAGTGTCCTCGTCTGCACCATGGCCACTGCTGCGTCGGTAGCCACCATGATCTGCCTTAGCAACGCTACGAGGGACCTGGCGGGTACCGTTCTCGGTGCGACCCAGACGAGCTTCCTCATCGCTTCGTCCGTCGCTCTCGGTCTCTGCTTTGCTTGTCAGCTCATCTTCATTGTCATTCACTTCGTCTTGGCCCGCCTCGTTGCCCGCGACGAGTCTGGTTCCATGCACTCGGACGAGGAGTCCCAGAGATCTCCCAACGTCCACATCAAGTCGGTTCCCTACCACCGTACTTCGCCCACCTTTGACGGCAGGAGCCGGTCCACCTCCATGGGCTCGCAAAGTCCACCTCAGTCGAGCAGCGGCCATTCCGCCACCGACACACTGAGCTCGTTCCGCTCCTCGTTGTCCAACGTCGTCCGACCCATTTCCTCCCGAACCCGCCTGCTCCCTCTGCGGGAGAAGCGCAGGGCAGAGTCGATTGACTCGAACCACTACCGCTCGCGATCGAGCAGTGTCAACGAGGATTCGTCCTTTGACTCGTGGGACACGTCTTCGGTCGACATGCAGAGCCGCATGACCGTCCTGGGCACATCCTCTCCCCCCGGCAGGTTTTTGGAAACGATCCCTGCTAGCCCTACAACCAGCCGCAGTCCCAGCCCTGGAACGCCGTTGGACCTGGACCTGGAAGCTCCGCGCACTCGTCGTCGGAGCCGCAGCTACAGCCCCAGCCCCATGGGCACCCTCCGCAACCCTGAGCCTACCTTTACGCTGCAGACTTCTGCCAGCGAGTGCTCTCTGCGTCGTCCCGAGCCCGCCTTTACCATGCAAGGCTCGGCCAGCGAATCTCACATTCACCCCCTATTTCGGTCTGACTCCCCAGACCCGCCGCCGATGGTGACACCCGGCACGGTTGTCACCGCGGCGCCAGACGCCGGCCGCGTCATCTCGGATCGACACAGCGTCCGCCGCATGCGCAGTGGCAGTCTGCCCGGAGGTCCTAGCCCCCTCAGCCGCACCAGCAGTTATGACAACTTTTTCCCCAACGGCCAGCCGCCCGTGAAAGAAGAGAAGGAGGAGCTCCCATCACCCCAAGAGGAGGACGAAACACTCGGTGAGAGACAGATGACGCCCCCGATCCCGGAGTGGATCCTAACCGCCGGAGCCAGGACGAGCCTAAACGGGTACCAAAGTCGGAAGCTCCGCATCGACGGGGACGCCGAGCAAGAGCAATCATGATGAAGGAGGGATGCACCAACGGCAACAAGAGGTGTGTCCAAGGAGAAAACCTGACCCGGCGTGGTCTTCATGAATGTCTAATTGCTATTTTGTCCTCGACAACAATAAGGGAGTACGAACTCGGGCGGTGATACCATATTTGAGGGATTTTATTTTCTTTGTCCAGCGCGGCGTTGTCCTGGGAGGCAGAGTAGGAAAAAAAGATCCAACATCGAGTGGCCAGAGAAGCCGCCGACAAGCTAGGATAGATGGCTACAGTAGCTGAAAACAACTTAACGAGTAACGAAACTTGGTGTCTTTTTGATGAGTGGTCAACGTTTGCTAAAATGATACCGTCTCGTATC